CTGGCCCCTCCAGGGAGTTGCAGCCCAGGGCAGGCTGCTTTGGTGTCTGACGGAGGGGGGGCCTGTGAGTCTGCTGCCAGGGGTCCCATCTCCTGCCACCCACCGCAAGTGGTGGGCATTGCCCATCCTCTGGGATTTCAGTCTCAGTGGAGGGCTTTTGTGCGCAAGTGCGCGCCTGTGTCCCTGAGTGTGGGTCAGTTCGTGTGAGGACATGTGTCCTTGTGTCTGTCAGCTCCCACAATGAACAGGAAAGCACGCAAGGGAAAACGCTGTCCTGATGTTAAAGTTCAGCTGAAAGAACAATGAGGTCTCCAGAGTATAGTGTGTCCATGTCTTTGTGTTTTTGTGCTAGGAAATGTGTTGTGAACCCTGTAAAAGTTTGCGGTTGGATGGCGGTGCCCCAGCGTGTGTTTGTATTGCTGTGTGCTGTCTGGGTGTGTGCGCGAGAGTGCTGTGCGTGGGACAAAGAGTTGGAGGAAGGACGACAGGTCGTGGACAAAAATGCCTTCTCTGTGTATCCTCCTCACGGGGTTAAACGAAGGCTCAGAATCACACGGGGCCAGGGTAGAGCCCAGAGCAGACAGACAGGTGAGCTGCAGAGCCTCTGGAAGAACCACTGCTAGACTGAACGAGCAAGTAGGGGGGTGGAAAGCGAGGCATAAATCCGCTGGAAACGGAAATCAGGGCCCTGAGAGAGCATGCATTGAATCCTGAGATTTCCATTGAGCCCCATTCGTGTGGGAGAGAGACTCCTGCGCACAGAGGAGATTACCGGAACCCCAGGGTCTGCCCTAGATGGGTTTGCGGAGGCAGCGCTTAAAAGGGGAGGAAAGCTGGGGCTCATATAAGTCACCTTCTCCCCTCTTCCCCCCCGCCCCCCGCTTCCATCTGCAGGATCCGCGATGGTGCGCCTGCGGGCTCTGTGGCTGGCCTGGGCTCTGCTAGGAGGGGCCGCAGCTTGCCCAGAGCCGTGCGCCTGCGTGGACAAGTATGCACACCAGTTCGCCGACTGCGCCTACAAGGAGCTGCGCGAGGTGCCAGAAGGACTGCCGGCCAACGTGACCACGCTTAGTCTGTCGGCCAACAAGATCACCGTGCTGCGGCGTGGGGCCTTCGCCGACGTCACGCAGGTCACGTCGCTGTGGCTGGCGCACAATGAGGTGCGCACGGTGGAGCCGGGCGCGCTGGCGGTGCTGAGCCAGCTCAAGAACCTCGACCTAAGCCACAACCTCATATCCAGCTTCCCGTGGAGCGACCTCCGTAACCTGAGCGCGCTGCAGCTGCTCAAAATGAACCACAACCGCTTGGGCTCGCTGCCCCGGGACGCACTGGGTGCGCTGCCCGACCTGCGCTCCCTGCGCATCAACAACAACCGCCTTCGTACACTGGCCCCTGGCACCTTCGACGCGCTAAGCGCGCTGTCACATCTGCAACTCTATCACAACCCCTTCCACTGCGGTTGCAGCCTTGTGTGGCTGCAGGCCTGGGCCGCAAGCACCAGGGTTTCGTTACCCGAGCCCGACTCCATCGCGTGCGCCTCGCCTCCCGCGCTGCAGGGGGTGCCGGTGCACCGCCTGCCCGCCCTGTCCTGTGCACCACCCAGCGTGCGTCTAAGTGCTGAACCACCGCCTGAGGCACCGGACAGCCCCTGGCCCGCGGGCCTAGCGCTCCTGCTACACTGCTTCGCGGAAGGACATCCCACGCCCCGCCTGCAATGGCAACTTCAGATCCCGGGTGGCACCGTGGTCTTAGAGCCTCCGGTCCAGAGCGGGGAGGACTATGCGGATGGGGCGGAAGACGGGGAGGAGGAAGGAGATGGGGACGGGCCAACGCAGACGGAGGCCCCAATCCCGACTCCAGCACCCGCTTGGCCCGCACCCCCAGCCAACCCACGCTTCCTGGCCCTCACAAACGGTTCCCTATTGGTTCCGCTCCTGAGTGCCAAGGAAGCAGGTGTCTACACCTGCCGGGCCTACAACGAGCTGGGTGCCAACTCCACGTCACTACGCGTGGCAGTGGCGGCTTCTGGGCCCCCAAAACACGCTCCTGGCTCTGGGGGAGACTCTGATGGGCAGGCCCCTACTTCTGAGCGCAAGTCCACAGCCAAAGGCCGGGGCAACAGCGTCCTACCCTCCAAACCCGAGGGCAAAATCAAAGGCCCAGGCCTGGTCCGGGTTAGTATCCTGGGCGAGACGGAGGCGGGGCCGGAGGAGGAGGAGGCAGGTGAGGGAGAGGAAGCAGAAGACCAGGTCTCTGCAGATCCGGTGGAGGAGCAACGCTGTGGCCACGGGGACCCCTCGCGGTACGTGTCCAACCACGCATTCAATCAGAGCGCAGAGCTCAAGCAGCACGTCTTTGAGCTGGGCGTCATCGCGCTGGACGTGGCGGAGCGTGAGGCTCGGGTGCAGCTGACGCCGCTGGCGGCGCGCTGGGGGTCTGGGCCCAGCGGGGCTGGGGGAGCCGGGCGGCCGGGGCGGCGGCCGCTGCGCCTGCTCTACTTGTGCCCAGCGGGGGGCGGCGCAGCTGTACAGTGGTCGCGAGTGGAGGAGGGCGTCAACGCCTATTGGTTCCGCGGCCTTCGGCCTGGCACCAACTACTCAGTGTGCCTGGCGCTGGCAGGCGAGGCCTGCCACGTGCAAGTGGTGTTTGCCACCAAGAAGGAGTTGCCCTCGCTGCTGGTTATCGTGGCGGTGAGCGTGTTCCTCCTGGTGCTGGCCACCGTGCCCCTGCTGGGCGCCGCCTGTTGCCATCTGCTGGCCAAACACCCGGGTAAGCCCTATCGTCTTATACTGCGGCCCCAGGCCCCTGACCCCATGGAGAAACGCATAGCCGCAGACTTTGACCCCCGTGCGTCCTACCTCGAGTCCGAGAAAAGCTACCCGGCAGGCGGTGAGGCAGACATCGTGGAGCCCGAGGAGACTCCCGGGGAGGGCCTTGATGAAGATGCGGAGCAGGGGGACCCAGGTGGGGACCTGCAGAGGGAGGAGAGCCTGGCGGCCTGCTCGCTGGTGGAGTCCCAGTCCAAGGCCAACCAAGAGGAGTTCGAGGCGGGCTCTGAATACAGTGATCGGCTGCCCCTGGGCGCCGAGGCGGTCAACATCGCCCAGGAGATTAATGGCAACTACAGGCAGACGGCAGGCTGAACCCCCAGCCTGACTGGCCCGCCCATTCCCATCCCCCACCTAGGGTACCTGGGAGCTGAAGCCTAGGGCTGGCAGGA